GAAAGAATGAAAATTTGGGTAAACAAACTATCTCAATTGATGTTGTTGTTGATTGTCTTCGAGTTGAGCATGACTCATAGCAACCCTATAAACAAAAGGCCTGAAGTACCCCTACGACTATGGACATTTATGAAAGTTTCCAGAGGCATGTTGTTTAGGAAGTGAATGCCACTCCTACTTCCAAACCTGTCATAGAATGTTATTGCTTAAGTTGTCTGCGATGCATAGCGACCCTATGTACAGCCGCTCTGAACACTTCCCTGTTCCTGAGCCAGTCTCACTAATTCTGACACACCAACCCCCATCACCTCAGTTACCATATCAGTCCATCTCATATGGGGTCTCACTCTCCTGCACTGTCCATCCACCCTTCCGAGCATGATGTCCTTCTCCAAGGACTGAACTCTCCTGGCCACATGCCCAAAGTAAGTGAGGCAGAGCTTCAAAACCCTAGCTTCCAAGGAGAAACTTGGTTTCATCCCCTTCAAGACAGACCTATTTGTTTTCTTGGCAATCCATAATATGTTCAAGACTCTTCTCCAGCACCACAACACCAAGGCGTCTATTCTTCTGTCATCCTTAGTCATTGTCCAACTTTCTGAAGCATAACAAATTATTGAGAAAACCATGGCCTGGATTATGCATACCTTTGTATCTAAACTTACACCGTTGCTCTTCAGCACTCTGGAGAGGACCATGACAGCAGATTTTCCCAATGCAATTTGTCTTTTGAGTTCCTAACTGCTGGTACTAAGAGTGTTGATTGTGGATCTGAGTGAGCAAGCTGTAATTGCTAACAACCTCAATCTCTTTTCCGTCTATTGGCACAGTGGTGAGAATCTTTGTCTGCTTGATGTTGAGCTTCAACGCATATTGAACACTACAGTCCTTGACCTTTTGCAGCAAGTGCTTCAGGTCTTCTTAGTTTCAGCAAGCAAGGCTGTGTCAATGTATTTCATAGGCTGTTAAAGAGTCTCTCTCCAATCTTGATGCCCCCTCCTCCTCATGAAGCCCTGCTTCGTAAATGATCTGATCTGCATACAGATTGAAAAGGTACAGGGACAAGATGCATCCCTGATGCACCCATTTCTTGATTTTGAACCATGCAGTGTTTCCCTACTCTGTTCTGAAGACTGCTTCTTGGTCCAAGTATAAGTTTCGTATGAGCACAATTAAGTGTTCTGAAATTCCCGTGTTCCTCAAAGTTAGCCACAATTTATTGTGATACATGCAGTCAAATGCCTTTGCATAGTCAAGGAAATACAGATAGACAGTCTTCTGATACTCTCTGTTTTCTGCCAAGATTCATCTGACACTGGCAATTATGTCCCTAGTATTACGACCTCTTCTAAACCCACCCTGTATTTCTGGTAGTTCTCTGTCAATGTACTGTTCAAGTCTTTTCTGGATAATCTTCAGCAGGATTTTGCTAGTGTGTGATATTAGTGATATTGTATGATAATTTTCACACTGTCAGGTCACCTTTTCTGGAATGGGAATAAATATGGATCTCTTACAATCGGTTGACTGAGTAGTTGTCCTCCACATTTCTTGGCACAACTAGGTGAGTACATGCAGGACAGCATCAGTCTGCTGAAATACATCAATTGGTATTCCATCAATTCCTGGGGCTTTATTTTTTTGTCAAGGACTTCAGAGCAGCCTGAACTTTCCCCTACATCACCATTGCCTCTTGCTCATATGTTGTTTCTTGAAATTCTTCTATGCCAGCCAATTCTTTTCAGTACAATGACTTTGTATACTCCTTCCATCTGCTTTTAATGCTTCTTAGTCATTCAATATTCTGCCCAGAGCATCCTTAAGCACTGAAACTCACGGCTTGAATTTTGTCTTTAGTTATTTCAACTTTAGAAATGCTGAGCGAATTCGGCCCTTTTGATTTTCTGACTCCTTCTTGCACATTTCATCATAATATTTTGCCTTGTTTTCCCGAGCAGCTGCTTAACTTCTTGATTTCTTCCTTTTGCATTGGCTTCTCGGTGCTCCAGTGCAAAATTCAGAGTCTCTTCTGACATTAGTTTTAGTCTTTTCTTCTTCTTCCTTCTTAGTAATGACTTTGTGCATTCTTCATGAACGATATTCTTGATATCTTTCTACAGCTTATCTGGACTTCATTCATTACTGTTCAAGGCCTCAAACCTACTCCTGAGTTGGTTTTTAAATTCATGGGAGATAAAATCAAGGTAAAATTTTTATTCCTGTGGCTATGATTTTACCTTCTTTAGTTTTAATTTGGACTTGCATATGAGCAGTTGACAATGTGTTCCACAATCAGCACCTGGCCTAGTTTTCACTGCTGATACTGAACTTCTCCAATGGTTCCTTCCACAGAAGTAATCAATCTGATTCCTGTACATCCCATCAGGTAAAGTCCATGTGTATGGCCTGAGTTTATGTTTCTTATAAAAGGTATTTGCTATGAATAAATCATTGATTGTACAGAATTCTATCATTTTAGCCCCAGTATAATTTTTGTCACCAAGTTTATATTTTCTGACTACTGATCCTTCTTCCTGATTCCCAACTTTTGCATTCCAGTCACCCATTATTATTAAAGCATATTGTTTATATGTTTGATCGATTTCTGATTGCCACAGTTGATACAAATCATCTATTTCTTCCTCTTTGGCTCTGGCTGTAGAAGCATAAACGTGAATGACTGGTATTAAAAGGTCTTCCTTGTATACGTATGGATATTATCCTGTCATTCACAATATATATTTGAAGATGGATCTAGAAATGTCCTTTTTACCTGTGAAAGCGACCTCGTTTTTTTCTCTCCCCTTTTCATCTGCACCATAATAAATCATATGATCTTGGGATTCAAAATGTCCCATGATAATCCATCTAATTTCATAAATATCCAATATGTCAATATTTATGCATTTCATTTCTTTCTTTACAATGTCCGGTTTTCCTACATTCATGTTTCTCATATTCCACATACCAATTATTTATTTCTTCTTACAACTGTTTCTTCTCCTTTGTGCTTCCAAATTTGAGGGTTCAACTTCAGTTGCCAAATCTATTAGTCTACTCTAAATGTTCTTTGCTGTACATAGGGTTTTCAAAGGCCAGTTATATTTCAGAAGTGCATGGCCAATCCTTCTTTGGCTGTTCACGGTTAGAAAAATATCTGACAGACAAGTATTTTAATTTAGCAGGGAAAAGACATTTCCCTTAGAGAATTACCAATACATTCATGGCCCACCTTCCCTCCCAAGCACATGTGACATGTCTCTACACTTTCCCTATGACCTCTCCATTCCTTGCACACCCAGCTACTTGGTCAAACCCTCCTTTCCCCAGTCACCTCCCATTATGAACACCAGTCACTTCTGTGATGCCTTGCACTACACACTTCTACTGGTCTTTCGCACTATTGTCCATCTCTTGTTTAGGAGGATGTAAGTCCAAATCCCATGTCCAACCTCAGAAAAAGATTTTTGCTTGAGGCTGTACTGAGGGAAGATCCTGGCCACAGAGTTTCTGCTAAGTTCTCAATTATTTTAAGTAATTTTAAATTTAATTATTGACTGATAATAGAAACAGTATTTATACCTAAGTTTACAGGGTTATTTCCAAGGAGCACATGCGAATACTTATCTGAAAGCAAGTCTCTCAAAATAGCTGACATTAAGTCAGAATCAACTTATAAGTGACCCTCCAGTGGGTTTTAGAGGCTATAAATCACACTAGAGGGGATTTTTGCTTTTTTTTCTGAGGATTGGCTAGTAAATTTGAACCACTTGCCTTTGGGCTGGCAGTGCAACTGTTTACCAAATAGCCAGAACCGCATTAGTCAATTAGATAAGAGCACCTTAATGAGAAAACAATTAGTCAATAATAAAAAGTTTTATAACTGCAAATTTATTACCAATGTCATCCTTAAAGAACAATAACAACAACATTATATTAACATAAAGGTCAAAATAAAGAGTAACAATAAGAGTCTTTTGAAGTTCATAATCAATTATTGTTTTTCTGCTGGAGAATTCTCTCTCATTCTGTGCATGCTCTATTATGTGATATTAAAACAACACAAGAGATTAAAAAGTCTAAATTCTAGCATAAATCATGCCATTAACCTATAAAAAACCCTAACTCCTTGACGTAATTCAGGGTTAAACTAGACCTTACAGAGCATAGTATGAAATCCATTGCTAGATGGGGTAACTCTTCTAAATTGTCAACTTTTTCTATAGTTTCTAAGGGCAAATATTAAAAAAATGTGTAATAGGCTTTCTTTAGTTTTTCATGATTCAAGACTAGCTAATATCTGTGTGTTTTGGTAAGGATGATTAAAATAATACACTAAAAATAGTTATGTAAGAGTTTACGATAGATTCTAATTCAGTATTCTCCTGAAATATCTGGCTGTCACTTAATGCTTGGCAACACTACAGAACTCCTACTCTATGTATCTGCTTAATTGCAATTCCAACAATTTTTGGAAATGGTACTTTGTTATCAATGAATCATTAGGTTTGCCTTTACTTGGATCTAGTTTTAAATCACTGTTGTTCTTGCTTTTTAATTACAATTTAGTAATAATGTAATCAAATTAGTTTGTTGGATTGTTTGGTTGGCTCTTAATGAGTCATACGTATTTCTATCAGGAGGATTTGGGACTGACATTTTCTAATATCTAGATATGATCACATTTCATTTTGAAAGGATGATATCTTTTCCTGAAATGTTACAGCAGACAAACTCCCTAAATAAACATTCAAAATCACATGTAGTTTTTTGACGTGAAGTAGCATAGTCAGAGTAAAGGAATTGGTAGTCAGTGAAAGTATATAAAAAAGAATCTCAAAATTTATTTTGAGATTTAAAATGAATCATTATAGTTTCTATTTCTTGTAGAATATAATCATTAACTTTTGTAAAAGTATGTATTAGTATGAGCCTATGTTTCCATCCTTATTGAATTTTCCTAGTAAATTATCAAGAAAATTTTAAGTGTTTATTGCTACTTACTTTGCCTTCCAGAAATCTGCTGTTATATGCCTCTGGTCGTGTGGGTTTTTGGTTGTTTTCTGAGTTTTTGTTCTTTCCCATATCATCTGGATTATGGTCTCTTTGCTGAAAACTGGCATTAATGGGAGGTTGGGTCTCTCTGCTCATCTGTGTTGAATTACCAGTCACTAATTTCTGGAGCATTGTTTGAGTTCCATTCACATTGTCATTCTTGTTTCTGTAAAGAAACAGTTTTGCACTGTGTTACTCACAGAGCAGAATGTGAACTGACTGGAAAAAGGAAATGGTGTTCAACATGCAGAACTCAACATGATGGAAAGCAGACATAACCGTTGGTTATTTGTCTGTGGATCATTTACCATGGAGAGATCATGTTATTATGTCCTTAGGCTTTATCTTTTCTTGCCCTCTTCCTCATACCCATGAAGCCAGTCTATTCATTGCCTCTAAAGTGTCAAAAGTAAACTTTAATGGTTATCACATTTCTTAATAACAAGTCTAACAAGTATTTTCATTTTTTTTTCTTTTGCAGGTAGAAAAGGTTGAGGCAAGTGGCCACCTTCAGTTTGTTCTTTCTTTTGTTGCTCAATTTTTTCCTTTTTACCTCATGCTTTATCCTATTTAATTTAGGTTTAATATTAAATAGAAAAAGAATATAATTTTCCATAGGAAAAAATTGATTCAGAGAAATGTAAGTAATAAATAACAACAGTAAATTGTTCAAACTTACAGCATCTACATACAGAATACTTATTAGAATAAAAAAGAAACTTTAGTATTTGTGTGTTGATGGTCATATCAATAAATATAAGTCTCCGAGTTAGGGACTTGAAAAGACAAATATGGCAGAAGACTACAATCTTGATGCATAACTTCCATGATTTTAAAACATGCAGTATCCCCTTATGCTGTTTGAACTATTGTCTCTCTCAGATATTAAAAAAAAAGAAAACCACCTCATCAAAGTGGAATAGGAACAACACAGCTAGTTCTCAGTGGGTTTTAAGAGACTATAAATGAATGAGTGTTTGAACCATTGTCTCTGTCAGATATTCTAAAAAAACCTCATCAAATTGAATGAAGTAGGAACAACAGAGAGCTTACCCTCAGTGAGATTTCAGAGTCTGTAAATTGAATGAGAAGAAGTGGCACATCTTTCTCCCACAGAGATGCAGCTGGTGGATTTGAACCAATAGAGAGTTAGCGGTACATCTGCCTATGGTCTATATCACCAGAGCTCCAATGTCAGAAATTAGCAGTAACTATATTTGGCACCAGCATGCAGGAAATCAAAAGACAAATTCCTTTATAAAAGTCTGTTGTCAGTGACCTCTCAAGAGTCTAGAAAGCAAGCAAGGATATAAGTCTAGAGATGAAGGTGCATTTGATCTAGGCCATAGTCGTCTCAATTGCTTGCCATGCATCTGAGAGTTGGACAGTGTTAAAAGATGACAGAAGAAGAATAGATGACTTTGAGTTGTGGTGCTGGAGAGGAAAATTTAACATTCAAAAGAACAAATAAATCTATCCTGGAGAGGGTAAAAACAGGTTGCTCTTTGGAGGCAAGGATTTTGAAACTCCATCACATATACTTTGGGCACGTTGTCAGGAAAGAATAGTCCTTGGAGAAAGATATCATGCTTGGAAGGATAGAGGGTCAGTGCAGGAGAGGAAAACCCTGAGTGAGATGGATTGACACAGTGACTGTGGCTGTTGGGGCAGGTGTGTCAGAGCGTGAGACTGGCTCAGAATTGGGCTGAGGTTAGAACTATTCTTTATAGGGTTGCTATGATTCATAGTCGACTTAATGACACCTAACAACAACATACTTGGGTATGGAATTCAGTCTGTTTTATTGTGTTGTTCTTATGTGCTGTGGAGTCACCTGTGATCCACAGTGACTCTACAGCAGCTCTGATGCCTGCCATGTCTTACTAAGCGAGTCTTACTAAATCAGACACACCAACCCCCACTGTCCTAGTTACTGTATCAATCCATCTCATCCGGGATCTTCCTCTCCTGAACTGTCCCTCCACTCTTCCAAGCAAGCATAACGTCCTTCCCCAAGGATGAGTCTCTCCTGGCCACATCCTCAAAGTACGTAAGCTGGAGCTTCATAATCCTAGCCTCCAAGTAGAAAGTTGGTTTCACCCTCTCCAAGACAGACATATTTGTTTTCTTGGCAGTCCATGTGTTCAAGACTCTTCTCCAGCACCACAATTCAAAGGTATCGATCCTTCTGTCATCCTTAGTCATTGTCCAGTTCTCTGAAGCATAACAAGTAATTGTGAAGATGATGGCCTGGATTAGGTGCACCTTAGTCTCTAGACTGATATTGTTGCTTTTCAGCACTCTGTAGAGGTCTACGACAGCAGATTTTCCTAGTGCAACTCATCTTTTGATTTCTTGACTGCTGGTGTTAAGAGTTCTGACTGTGGAGCCAAGCAAGCTGTAATTAGTAACAACCTCAATCTCTTCACCATCTATCATGGTGCTGCCAATTGTTCCAGTGGTGAGAATCTTTGTTTTCTTGATGTTGAGCTTCAGTCCATATGGAAGACTACAGTCTTTGACCTTCTGCAGCAAGTGCTTCAGGTCTTCTTTAGCTTCAGCAAGCAAGGTTATGTCACCTGCATAATGTAGGTTGCTGATGAATCATCCGCCAATCCTCAAGCCACTTTCCTCCTCATAAAGCCCTGATTCTTGAGTGATCTGTTCTGCATATAGATTGAAAAGGTATGAAGGATGCATCCCTGATGCACTCCTTTCCTGATTTTGAATTATTCAGTGTTTCTCTACTCTGTTCTTAAGACTAGTTCCTGGTCCAAGAATAGATTTAGCATAAGCACAATCAAGTGCTCTGGGAGTCTCATTTTCCTCAAGGTTAGCCACATTTATTGTGATCCACTCAGTCAAACGCCTTTGCATAGTCAAAGAAACACAGACATTCCGCTGGTACTCTTTGCTTTATGCTACGACCCACCTGACATTGTCAGTAATGTGTCTAGTGCCAAACCTCTTCTAAACCCAGTATGTGTTTCTGGTAATTCTCAGTCAATGTACTGTTCCAGTCGTTGCTGGACAATCCTCGGCAGGATTTTGCTAGTGTGTAATATTAGTGATATTGTTTTAAAATTTCCACACTCTGTTGGGTCACTTTTTTTTGGAATGTGAATGAATATCTATCTCTTCCAGTCAGTTGGATAAGTAGTTGTCTTCCAGATTTCTTGGCATAAATTGGTAAGCACACCCACAACAACATCTGTTTGCTGAAATATGTCAGTTGGTATTCCATCAATTCCGGGGGCCTTCAGAGCAGCCTGAAAGTCCTCTTTCATCACCATTGCCTCTAGGTAATATTGTTTCCTGAAATTCTTCTGTGTCAGCCACTTCTTTTTGGTACAACGACTCTGTTTACTTTTTCTACCTTCTATTAATGCTTCATTAGTCATTCAATATTCTGCTCATAGCATCCTTAAGCACTGAAACTCAGGCCTTGAATTTGTTTTTTAGTTCCTTAAGCTTAAAAGCAAAATATTACAATGAAATGTGCAAAGAGTTGGAGTCAGAAAATCAAAAGGGCCGAACTCGCTCAGCATTTCTTAAGCTCAAGGAACTGAAGAACAAATTCAAACCTTCAGTTGCTATAATCAAGGATGCGTTCGGCAGAATGTTAAATGATCCAGGAAGTATTAAAAGAAGATAGAAAGAATATACTGAATCACTGTATCAAAAGGAATTGGCAGACAAAGAAGAATTTCATGAAACAACATATGAGCAAGAGCCTATGGTGATGAAAAAAGAAGTTCAAGCAGCTTTGAAGGAAATGGCAAAAAATAAGGCTCCAGGAATAGATGGTATACCAATTGACATATTTCAGCTAACAGATGCTGACCTGGATGTGCTCACCAAGTTGTGCCAAGAAACCTGGAGAACAACCACTTGGCCAACTGACTGGAAGAGATCTATATTTGTTGCCATCCCAAAGAAAGGTGGCCCAACAGAGTGTGGAAACTATAGAACAATCTCATTGATTTCACACGCAAGCAAGATTCTACTGAAGATTACCCCAAAATAACTGGAGCAACACATCAGCAGAGAACTGCCAGAAGTCCAGGCTGGGTTTAGAAGGGGTCATGGTACTAGGGATATAGTAGCTGATGTTAGATGGATCTTAGTTGAAAGCAGAGAATACCAGAGGAATGTCTATCTGTGTTTCATTGACTATGCAAAGGCATTTGACTGTGTGGATCATAACAAACTGTGGCTG